GTGGGGAAACAACTCTACATAACTCAATCGGATCTGCGGCCCGCGCCCGACCCTGCCCTCGCTCCTACGACGCGAGAATTGGCTTCGGTGGGCCTCGGGCGGGTCGCTCCCAGAAATTCCCCTCGCCGCGGTTCTCCGCCCGGAGCAGTGCTGAAACCTGGGCCGAACCTCGCCGCCCGCGCGAAAACTGCGCCGCGATCCGCCCCTGCCGGGCAAAACGCAACATCGGAAGATCTCATATCCAAGAAGTTCCAGCGCGATGACGCACTGCTGGGGGGCGCCCGACTTCGATGCGACACGATTTCCGGCACTTGGACAGCATCGCATTGATAGCGCGAGGCTGGCACGACATGTGGGTTTGGGACATTGAACGCGCTGCTTCCGCAAGCCTTACAATGGATGATTTCAACAAGCAACAATAACAATCAACAGTCTGTGATATGATTTACTGTTGTTGGTCAGAGGCGAGAGGTCCTAGAGCGCGGCGCCCCACGAGGCGAGCTGGCAGAACCCGTCGACCGATCCCAGTCGTGTCTTCGGTGGCGCTCGATGGCGCCCGGCCTGCCTCGCGTCGATGGCGGGCGCGATCCTGGCTGGGTCTTTTGTCTTGACAGAACGAGAAGGCCCCGACCTTGGCCGCGAGCTCTCAACGGAAGCTGATGCGGTTCGCCCATCAAAGCCGTTCGATGAGGGCCAGGGGCCCATCGCGATCCGAGCCGACGTCGGGCCCCGTGGGGCCGCGGAAAGATTCGCGCGGCCTGGAGCTCCAGCATCTGCTCCGCGCCCCGCTTGATGAAATGCGCGCAGTGCCTGATGGGGCCCGCTGCGTCGGGGGGGCGGAGCGACTTCGCGTTCTTCAACGTGGCGCCCGCGCGGGTGATTTTGGGCTTATCGATGTCGTGCTTGGCCGGTTTCTGCGGCCCCCGTGAGCGCAAGCCCCTGGGCGCTGCGAGCTCCAGGAGGGCTCGACTCTCGCCCGGGCCACCGGGTCTCGCGGCGGAGGGCGGCGCGCTCTGACGCGCCGAGCAACGCGCTGCAGGACGTCGCATTGCGCGGGGGTCGCCCTCTCGCCCCCGCATCTCCTCGCACTTGAGACACTCGAGAAAGTAGTAGTTGCGAGAGCGAGCTTAGGGGGCCTAACATTGTCGCACTCCCGCCGATGCCGGCGGCGCCGCTCGAGCCGACGCCGCCGAACATGTCGGGGGGCGCCAGGAGAGGCGGGCGCTGCTGAAGGTGGCGGCAGCAGCGGGAAGGGCCCTCCGCGACGTCGCTGCGAGCGAAGACGCCGCCGCGCGCCGGCGCCTCCGCGGTCCAAGCTCGCGGCGGGGGTGGCCGCGATTGCCGGCGGTGCCCTGGTAGTGAATTTCTCCCAACACCCTGGCGGGGGCCCTGGTTGCCCCTGGGCGAGGATGAGGTAGCATGTTGCAGAACACGCAAGACCAGGCTCATTCGAGGATACGAAGGATGAAGAGGAGGAGGAGGAGGAGGAGGAGGAGGAGAGAGGAGGAGGAGGAGGAGGAGGAGGGAGAACGAGGAGCAGGAGACGGAGGAAGGAAAAGGATGAGGAGGAGGAGGAGGAGAAGGGGGGAGAAGGAGGACGAGTAGGAAAAGGGCGGAGACGGAGGAGGAGAGGAGGAGGAGGAAGAAGAGGAGGAGGAGAAGGAGAAGGAGGAGGGGGAGGGAGGCGGAGGAAGAGGGTTTCCTCCTCCTCATCCTCCTCCTCCCTCGTCGCCGTTCTCCTCCTCCTCCTCCTCCTCCTCCTCCTCCTGCCGCCTCGTCCTCCTCCTGTCCCTCATCTTCTTCCTCCTCCTCCTCCTCCTCCTCCGCCTCCGACCTCTCTTCCCCTCCCTCACCTCTTCCTCCCGCGCACGGGGCGGGTCGGGGCCGCCGGGTGGGCCTCCGAGGCGGGGGCGGCCGCCGCGCGCGCAGCCCACCCTTGCCCTTCTTTGTTCCTCGATGCTCGGATCCCAGACCAAAAGGAGGAGGGGGTAGTACCCCCTCGGTGCCAAGGGCAAGGAGAGGAAGGATGGAAGCACGGCTGAGGAGCAGGAGGAAAAGGAGAGACCCGACAGCAGAAGAGAGGAAAAGGGAGCAGGAAGCTGCCTTGGGGCCCTGGGACTGGGACCACTACCGAGCGCGGGAGGAGGAGAAGGAGGAGGGCGACAGCAGACGGACAGACAGGGACCGAGAAAGGAGCAGGCAACAGCAGACGCACAGGCGACGAGGCGAGAAGGGGGTGAAAGTGAGGGGCACCACCGGAAACTCGAAAAAGAAAACCTAAAATCATGAATCGAAAATCCGCGTTTGGAATAGGATGGTCTTGAAGAGTACGACGGCAATGATGAGACATAGACATAGATGACGAGACGAGAAAGGTAAGGACGACTAGACGGATGCTCAGAGGGCAGGGGGCTGAACAGTTCGCTGAGCCGCTGAGCCGCTGAACGGTTGAACGGCAGGAGGAGGAGGAGGAGGAAAGGAGAAGGAGGCTCCTTGAAGGAGGAGGCGAGGAAGAGGAGGAGGAAAAGGGCCAGAGCATCCCTAGCAGACGCCAGGCCGCCAGGCCCCAGGCTCAAGAGCGTGCGTGCGTCCGCGCAGAAAGCATTGACTGTCCTCTTATTTCCTTCCTCTCTTCCTCCGCCTCCTCCTCTCCTCCTCCCCTTGACTATTCTTCTCCTCCTCCTCCTCCTCCTCCTCCTCCTCCTCCTCCTCCTCCTCTCCTCCCACTCCTCCACAAGCCATCTAGCCCCTGGCCTTGCACTGGCCAAGGCAGTAGATGAGGTACGAGCCTAGAGCATGAGAGCACATCGCATTGCCGATCAGCGGGCGAAGCGCAACTAAAGGCATAGACTCTGCAATACCTGCCCAGTAGCAAGGGAACGCATCTGAACCACTCGGCGGGCTAAAACAGTTGTCGCCCATCATTGCGAGCAACTCCTTCGCAGTGAAAGGAATGATAACACCATCTTCTGTGATCGTCACCATCCAAGCATTGCGAGTCGTGATCGCTGGCATTACTGGCCCCGGTGGCGCGCACTTCACGTCCTGAAGGAGGTCAGCTACGAAACAGCCGTCAAGCCCGCAGAACGCATCGATCACAGTCATGTAGCGATCGAAACGCTCTCTCATGAATGGGCTAAGGTTGTCGCTGATGCTGATGTTGACGCGACTGTCGCCGAAATGCACGCATCCACGGGACAGCAGGGAGCGGACGTACTCTTGGCGAGTAGCATCGTCATCCATGAAGAAAGCTGTCGGTTGCAAAACTCTTTGTTTTTTGAACACACCTCGGTAATCTTTGAAAGAACCATGGAACTCGAAGAGGGTCTTGCGCCAACCGAATGTGTAGCGACGCGGTCGGCGCATTGGCACCGACAGTTCCTCCGCACATATATTGCCTGTGATCCCGTCCATCTCCAGGTACTTGATCAAATCCGTGTGGAGCGATTCTGGGGCCCCATCGGTGATCTCTAAGATTATGAAGTCGGGGTCCAGGTCTTTTACCTCATGCTTGAACCACAGGAAATCCTCCATGCGCGTGCCACTGGATCCCTCACGAGCTCCTCTGATGCTGAAATCCTGGCAACTGTGGCCTGCAACTGCAAGAACAAGCTTCCCTGTGCGGTCATGGCGAATGGGGCAGGCTCCTCTGCCGCATGCGAAGCACTCGGCGGCGCCACTCTCCTTCAAGAGCTCTCCCTTGAACGATTCGAGGTAGCGGTCCATCTCTTCGAACGCTTGTAACCGAGCATCATGTCCAACGCAGTGCAACAGCCTCCTCACATGGTCGACATGGACATCGCGAAAGCGAGATTGGATGCTGCCAAACACGTGCTTGAAGATCCTCTCCGGGCCATCTTTCATATTGCTAAGCACGGTGCGCGCCGTTGGTTCGGAGTCGCACGCACTGTAAGCTGTGATAGCGTCAGGACTCGACGTGATGCCCTTCATCTGTAGAGCCCTGCTCAGATGCCTTGCAACTGTACCATCCGTTCCCTTGCCCGAGTAGTAGCTATGCAAGACCAGCGGACGAGGGTTCAGCAGCTCCGTCAACCTCCCGGCAGCACACTCATCTGCTGCGGTGACGTCATCGATGGCTTGCATGGGCCACTCCGCGTAGTCTTTTGTGGTGCGGAAGCCCTCGGACAGGAACAGGCTGGCCTCGGCAACATCGATCGACCCTGTTCTGAATCGCTTGCTATCTGGAGCGTTAGATGGGCGCCTCACTAATGAACGCATTGCAAGTACACACTTGCTTGAACGTTGAGCCAGAAAAATGGCTATGGCAATGTTGACGATGATAATCACTCGGCCTGTACTTCCGAGCCTTCAGACTCTTACTCAGCCATCGCTCCTCAGCACCAGTAGATGCTGAGCTCACGTCCCTGGTGCCTTCAGGCGCATTCGAAGTGTGTGTTCAATCGGATCTGTCGGACCAGGTTTTCTCATTCGATGTGAAGTGTGCTACGTGTTCGTGCTTGTGATGTTTGTTTTTTGTTTGTGATGCTGCTTTGTTTGTGTTGTTTCGTGCTTGCGAAGCTGTTTCTTGTGATGTTTGTTTGGCATCAGGCGTTTACCCCTAATCTGTATTCCCAAGACGACCCACTAGACCCTTTTGAGTTTTATGAGTGCGATTTGGTTCGGGCTTGTTTTTGGACATCATGTCGTTTTGGGCCCCATGAGATCTCCATCGCCGTCGTCGTTGCCACTAGCACTGCACATGCTGAAGGCTGCTTGGGCTCCCCGGTCCCTCGCGCGAGAGCGAGGCGTTGCTCCCCGTGCCCATCTGGTGGGTTGGTGGAGCGCTCACACATCCCAGCAGTAAAAAACATGTGAATGGCAGAGGCAGTGGCTCGCAACATCGAGCACTGACCTCATCCCGCGACGCCATCAGATTGAAATTGACTGACGGCGCATGCGAATGAAACAAATAGGAGCCTGAGTTCATCGCAGAGTCTCTGATGCCGGGCAAACAAAAACAGCGTGATCAAGCGGGATGCTCACTTGCTGCTATCAGCCTGCTTGGCGGGCTCGGGAGTGGCGGCTGCCAATGCGCTCCGAAAGAACCTCGTGGTGGCGCTGTTCGGCTGGCACGTCTCGATCTGGCGGAACATCTCTTCGAACGCTGTGTAGGACGCAGCCGAGTTCTCCACGAATGGCACCAAGTAGCCGTAGACGCCGCTAGTACCGACCGTCCGTTCGACGAAGAAGCTGCCCAGAGGGATGAACAACATCTGATTGGGTGCCAGCGTCCCACGGTAGACCCTCGCCTCAGACTGCGCAAGCAAGTCCAATTGTTCTTGAGATTGAATAGAATGAAGTACATCCAGCTGATGCTCGTGAAAGTCCTTGTCCGTCTGCTTGATCATGTCGGCCTTCTGGGCATAGTCGCCTAAGCTGCTGAAGTCTATCAAGGTGAACTCCAGGGTCCCCGCCACCTGATACATCATGCCCGCCAGCCCTTGGCGCGACTGCCCCATGCCCACATACCCTGGGTTCTTGCCGTAGAAGGCGGCTTGGGAGCACGTCGTCTTCACCAAGTTGTCGACGCCGTCCTTCTTCACGTCCACGACGCAGGCCGGGCCCGCAGAGAGCATCAGCTCCCGGAGGCGGTCCCTCCGCTCATTGTGGAACGGCGTGTAGCCGCGCCCGTCTGTTACAGCTTGGCCGCTTGATGGGAATTGGATGCGAAACACGCCTAAGCTTGCCTTCACGCTCCGCTCGTCCACGAGAGCAGCCACTGCGGGCATGCTCTTCACGATGTAGGGCTCGCTTGTTCCCAAGGTCCCCGCGTCCTTGGCCTCGGCCAGCTTCTCCGCGGTGTCGAAAGTCTTCACAGGTTTAATCACATCATGACTGGCCTGGATCAGGAACGCGGTCCCAGTATCTCCTTTTGCCCTCTTCGCATTCTGCTCAGCCTCCGCAATCTTCCTTTTCCTGGCTCGTTCATTCTCCTCCTTTTTCGCCGCCTGCTGCGACGAGTGCTGGACCTTCTTGTCGCGCGTGGTGATGTGTTTCGAAACAGCATCCGCTGCAGCCTGCGGAAACTTGATGCATTTAGTGAAGAGGCCAACCTTCTTGTCGCATTCGTTCATCCAAGCCTTGACGGCGAGTCGCCACACAGTGCGAAGAGGCCGAGCCATGCCGCCGTTTCCATTTCATCCCTGACCGCCCCCGGACCTCTACCAGAACAAATGCCCCAGAGAACATACTCCACAACTCCCCCATCCCCCTCGCTTTCCTGGCCCTCTCAGGGGCCATCCTGACTCAGATCAATGCGGCATGGCAGGGCCCCCCTCGAACCTTCATGGCGTTCTCGTCCTCGATGCGATGGATGCGGCGTTGGCCAACCTGGAACCAGATGAGCGGCCTCACAGCATCGAGATCCTCGGGCACGACGGGCAAGGCCTTGCCCTCTGCGTTCCGCTGGGTCAAGAACGCCTCAAGGTTGGCCACGGCGACCAAGTAGTGCTTGTGGAACAAGAGGTCTTGGAAGAGCAGATCATGGTTCAAACTCGCGGTCTCGCTGTCGAAGCCGCGCGCCTTCATGATCTCATGGAGCATCGAACCCTTCAAGCTACCTTCGAAGCTGTTGCCGATGTGGTTCGCAATAGAGCGATTCAGGGTCTGCTTGGCCTCCTCAACTTTCTCGGGCTCCACGGGCTTTTTCTCCTGGTCGGCCTTGGTCTCACTAATGGTGCCAGCAATCTTCGACGCGAGCTTGAGCTCCTCCGACTCCTCGATGCCGTTCGACAGAGCGATCGAGCTCGACGGCGCAAGATCCTCTGGGAACTTGATCTGCATGAGCGGCATCAGCGAGAAACGGTCGTTCAGCAGCTGCAGGTTGCGATCCAGCCCTGGCACGAAATGATGGCCTGGCCTGCTGCGATCCTCTCCGCCTTCGGTTTTGGTCATGGCAATCGCTTTGGCCTTCGCTTCCTCAAGTTTTTCCAGCTTGCCTTGAATGCTGCTGATTTGACTGGCCACCCTGTCATGCATCTTAACCTGCTGTATGTCCTTGTCGAATATCTTCTGAGCCGACGGCGGGGTTCTGTCGGATTCCTGATGCTGCATCTTCTTGTTCTCAATGACGGAAGCGAAAGCGCTGGAAGCTGCGCTTGTCCCGCTGGCCGAGTGGAACGCGGTCTGCCCTGAGGCCCCAACTCCGAGCAGGCCTGACCCCGCTGAGGCGAGGATGGCCTGCCCTCCAACAGAATCGAACATGTCATTGCCAAAACCGACGTGGTTCTTGATGACGCCGGCCTGTGCAGCTGCGATGTCAGTCTCTGCGCCGATCTTCTTGGACTTCGAGGCCAACTCCAACTCCTTCACTTGTTCGATGATCGCCGCAGCATCAATGTAGTCCTCTGATGGCATCGGTAGACGTAGAGGTGAATCTACGGGGCCCATCTTGTCTCTAGCCGACTCAGGGCACTTGCCCTCGACCGATTTCCAAGTCATCTCCGCCTCCTCCATGGGGTAGCACTGCTTCTTGACACGGAGCTTGATCCACTGCGCCTTATGCATCATCACGAGCCTTGAGCCCTTGGCCATGGACGTCTTCGCCACGTGCTTGTCGAGGATGCGCTGCACGTCGGCGGAGGAATGGCCCCTCGGCTTGCCCTGGACCTTCGAAGGATGCGTTGATTCAAAACTGAGCACCGACTCACTCCAAGGACTGGGTGGGGTATCTGGGGCATTCGCTTGGAGATTCTTGAACTCTTTGAGCGCCTTGATGCCTGTCTCCGACTTGTCATCCTTCAATCCGCTCATCATGGCGCCCACGGTCTTAGTGTGGATCCTGCACTGCTTCTTGCCCGGCGCGCAGTCGGGCGAACTGCACGCGTTGCAGCTGGAGCCAGTGCTGGCCTCTCAGAGAAAAATTATCCCAGTGCGACCCTACCTAGGAGTTGGAACCCCTAGGAAAGCAGCATTAGTAGTAACAGTAACGCTAAGCTAAAGCTAAGCTAAAACTAAGCTAAAGCTAAGCCACAGCTAAGCTAAAGCTAAGCTAAAGCTAAGAGCTAAAGCCAAGCTAAAGCTAAGCTAAAGCTAAGCTAAAGCTGAGCAAGAGCTAAGCTAAAGCTAAGCTACAGCTGAGCTAAAGCTAAGCTAAAGCTAAGCTAAAGCTAAGCTAAAGCTAAACTACAACTAAGCTAAAGCTAAGCTAGAGCTAAGCTAAAGCTAAACTACAACTAAGCTAAAGCTAAGCTAAACGCTAAGCGAAAAGCTAAGCGAAACGCTAAGCTAAAGCTAAGCTACAGCTAAGCTAAAGCTAAGCTACAGCTAAAGCTAAAGCTAAAGCTAAAGCTCCCAGGAAACTGGGGGAACCGCTCCCAGGGGACTGGGGGAACCGCCCAGGGCGTGTTGCACTGCCCGGCCCCTTTAAGCTAAGAGAGTTAGGCAGAGCCTAGGTAGGGAACAAACAATGAAGAGGTGGCAGGAGGAGGATGGAGGTGGGAGGGCGTTTCTCTACCAGGCCAGGTACCTTCCTCGGAAACCGAAGCTCCCCCTCCAAAGATTTCGGCAGGCAAGATTTGAGCCCAAGACGGATTTGGCAATGGTCAGTTCGGTCCAGGGGCCGCTTTGCAAATCTCAGGATCAATCGACCCGACCTGGAAGAAACCAAAATGTCTGTGAGGGAATTTCTGCCCACCATGCGTGCAGAAATTCCTTCATTGATCAATGTTGCGTCGATGCGCACATTGTCGTTTCAGAGTGGGCAGGATTGCATGCCAGGCCTTCGTCCTCTTAGAGGACGTCCCCGCCACGCTGCCAGCGCCATCCGCCGATCCCCCTGGCTTGGAGGAGCCGTCGAGCGACATGGCGTCCATCCCGAGGTCCTCGAGTCCGCCCATGTCGTGTCTCGAGCGAGGAGTCCGCGACTGGGTGGATGTCCCTTGGACGAGAAGCCTGAATGTTTGAGCCAACACCAACGAGAGCAGCCTATGTTCTATGGTTCCGCACAAGTTGCTAAACGAGTCGTGCTCTCTCCTGAGACTTCCTCGAACGCATTGCTAAAGAATGGCACTCTCGCCTTATCAGCCGTGTGTTGTGCATACGACCACGTCTTGTTGAGCGGCGTTCGACAGAAGTTATGGGTGGTGGCATGGGCGTCCACTGAGCAAGACTGAACCCTCAGAGGCCCGCTGATCCTACTGTTGGGCTCTTGGACCCCCAACTCCCAGGACTGTTGTTTGGACCGTTTGGAGCCTATGCGAAGAGTTGCATGAGAGTTCGGTAGTTGATTTACCTCTTTGTGAGGGCGCAGTCTCTCGAGGCTCTGAAAGGCTCCTTTTGGGGGGGCAGTCACAGGCTCACTCGTCGCTATTCAAAACTTTGTGTTGGAATTGGCAAGCGCCCCCTCGCCTCCCGATGCGTTGTTGAGACCCAGTTTTCTGTTAGACTACTCCCCCCCATCTCTCATTAGTTGTCCCCAGGTTCCCAGGCATCGATTCTAGATGGGTTGGTGGGGGCACGACGCGTTGAGCATTGTTCAGCATGCGCAAGCATGCAATCCGAGCAACACCATCACATTTCAAATCTGACTGGTTCCAAGCATCCTAATCCTGCGACAAACATAAGTATGCACGTGAAGGATCCAAGCCCAAGGGGGGCCAGCGGCGCATGAGTGCCGACACCATTGATTGAACTTAATGTGTTAAAGACGGCGTGGGAAGCGTCAACGAGTTAGTGCGTAGGGGCCCGTATGGGCCCTATGATTAGGGAGAAGAGGAATAGGAATGGATGTGGATGCGAAGATGTACCATACATGACTGTTGCTACAGTCGCCAAAAACAATGCATCCAGTCCAACAGCACAGCCCCCACTGAGCTGAGAACTGACGCGCAAACAATTGAAACGGGACAGCAGATGGCAGAGCGTATGAGATTAGGTTCCTCCTTATATTCATCATCCTGCTTGTGATCACCACCAGCATCATCAACACCGTCATCATCATAATACATCCCCACTATCTCCTCTTATCCTCCCTCCTCCCTTGGCTCCTTGGCTAGCGTCGGTCGGTCGATCACACCTCGGCCTCCGCGAACTGACGAATCAACTGGGATGCAGGCGCGAGCTCCTGCCCACTGAAATGGCAAGGCGCGAAGCTTTGAGAAGGGAGCTCGTCGTCATCTCTCTGCCTCAGCTTCCACTTGCGAACGTTGCGCACGGGCGCAGGCGTGAAATCAGGGCTGTCTTCCACCGAAATGATTTGAGCCGACGGCCCTGGAGGCGTCTCAGACAGCCCAAGAGGCGCGCCGGCGTCCAGCCGGGCACGCTTCGGGCTCGCAGGCACAGTGGGGGCCGGGCTATTGGGACTGTCGATGAATGAAGCGAGGTTCGGCAAAAGCTGCCCGCCATACATACTCTCCTCCACTGCCCTAGCGGAATCAAAGCATTCGGATAGATCTGCGATGTGAACGTCTACAGAGCCAGCGCCAGTCGCTGCATGAGCACTGGGGCGACTGGGCTCGCAAGACACTTGGCCAGAAGATCCTTCGGTCACGCACACAGGAGCACCATCAAAAACGCCGCCAGGAAAAGGCTTGGGAACATCAGGGTCGCAACTATCGCCAAGCTCAGGCGGTCGACTGCCGATGCCATTGCCATCATCAGTCTTGTCAGTTTCGATGCCAAGCGCATCATTGGGAACGGAAGCAGCAGTAACAGCCGACACAGATATCGTGATATTCTTGACACTAGGATTATCACCCACAGGATCACCATCACCAAGAGGCAAGGACATTGTTAGCATCCCCTCGAGGCCGAGGCGGCCAGAGAGTTTCCTGGTGCCTTCGGGCGTCTCCACACGCAACTGTATGTCCATCTGGCCCGTTACAGGAAATGTGTCCTGGACATTCGAGGACGACATGGGTGCAATCGTCGGCAATTGAGCCGTCAGATCTGCAACGCGTGGTGAGCCAAATGGCTGTGGCACCATCATGTCATTATCAACACCACCACCATCGTGAGCTTCATCATAATTGCCCTTATGTGGCGATTTAGCTGGGTTCCCACGAGCCCCCTATGAGCCCCCCCCCAGACTCCCAGACTTGAGTAGATCGTCCTGAGCGATTGCCCACCTAAACAACTTGGGTGCCCCGCTGGACCTTCAAGGGACCTCCTCCGCGCCTCACGGGGCCTTAATCGACCAACGTCCGCACGCGTCTCGTGGCCCCACAGTCGACACCAAACGTGTCAACCTGACGCGCCAAATGCGTGCCGCGGCAGCGTGTGTCCGAAACAGAAGGGAACTACCTTCATGGCCCCAAAGAGGCAAGCGTGTGAATAGTGGCGAATGCTTGTACAGGGGCCAGATGTAGATGAGAGAAGTTTGGTCAGAGTAATGGCCATTGTGGCAGGCCCAACTAGGACGCACAGCAGTAGCAGACTTTCTTACACATTCAAACACAATGCAATACAAGGCAAATACAAGGCAGCCCACACGTACCCAAAGCTATTGGACATGTTTGTTGTTGGCAATGTTATTTGAGTTGCATTGGTTTTCAGCTACGACAAACGAATAGCTTAGAAAAAACACAAAACACAATGAAAAACATTGAACGCCAACAAAAACATCAAAAATGCTGAAAAACCAGCAAACCAATTGAAAAATACGAAAAAAAACGAAAAAAAAAAAAAAACTAAAAAAAAACCTGAAAATGCAACACAAACAATGAAAAACCAGAAAAACATTGAAAAATCAACGAGTGACAACAAATTTCTATATACACCCAAAAAATCAAAAAAAGGTGGCTGGAGGGGCCTCCTCGGAAGTCCTCGGAAGTCCTCGGTAGTCCTCGGAAGCTTCCTCGGTAGTCCTCGGTAGTCCTCGGTAGTCCTCGGTAGTGTTTTTGGTAGATTATCGACCAGAATTGAGGATTACGCGAATTTGATGTACATATGTTGTTTTTGTTGTTTTTTTTTCAATGTTTTCATGTTTTTCATGTTTTTCAGTGTTTTTTCATGGTTTTGCAGTTTTTCATGTTTTTTTTTCATGTTTGTTCTGTTTTTTTCTGTGTTTTTCAATATTTTCATGGTGTTGGATGTGTTTCTCTGATGTTCAAGATGTTTCATGTGATTCATAGGTTGGCATGTTTTTTTTTTCCAGCTGTTTCGATGTGTGTTGTAACTGTTGGCAGTGGTTGGCATTGCTTGGGGGCCAGACCTACTTGTCTCGTGTGGTTGTAGTGCGAAACAAATCTCGCGTGCGTCATATAGCGTGAACGTGCGTGTGCGCATGGTAGATGTGCTCTTTACAGGCAGCATTGCATGCATGTGTGAGTGTGCCCGCTTGTAGGCTACCCCATTCGCACCACTAGTAGGTGTCGTGTGCTTTCCGTTGCGTTTCTGATATGGTCATAGTGATATCATGTTGCAACCCTCGTTGGGGCGAGGGTGGTTTATAACATACATAGTGTTGTACTCTTCTGGCAATGTAGGTGTGAACGTGCTGTGCCTTTGCTAAACTTAGGGGCCCACTGAGGCTTTTTGCAACGAGGCTACGAGATCTTGTATGCGTGAGTGAGACGTGTCGTGCTGCCGCAACAAAGGCTGCTGGCCGTGACGCCAACATGGCGGCGCCGTGCAGCATATAATACATGCAAGCTGGCCAGCCTCAATCGCTGGAAGAGCTGTCAGATCCCTCTCCAGAATCTCCAGACGCTGACGAGTTGTCGCTGCTGCTGTTGCTGGTGCTGCTGTCGCTTGAGTTCTGTGCTGCGCTGGCAGCGGCATGAGATTTTGCCTTGGCTCTCGCCGCCCTTCCACGACCGCGCCCACGACCTCGCGCCTTCTTAGGGGGGGGC